CCCGTCAGGGTACATGTATTCTGTGTATACTACAAGATACGCGCGAAAAACATAAGCCTTCCTTGGCAGTCGGGTAAAAATAACCACAGAAAACAATGATCCCACAAACAATTAAGAGCTTACCTGCAAGCTTAATCGTTGACATGTATAAATAACAATATTTCTATATCGAATTGTTGTTATTTAAAGAACAAACACGTTCCAAGTGACGAAAAAAAAACTGTAAAATAATCTCCAAAAACAGATTTTTTCATCATTTTATGAATAAAGATCGCGGTGTCGTCACCCAATGACTTCGCTCACTAAAAACTGCCATGACGGTGCAGTGTCATGTTCAAAAAGGATCGTGATTGGTCAATTGGTTTCTGATTTAAGACCCCCGTCTTCTCGGTCGTCTTCGCTCTCTTTCTTTCTTCTTTATGCTCTCTTCTTTACCACTAATTTTATTAAGGTGTTTTGCCAAGGCTGTCTAAGGGAACTCCTGTCAGCCATATGTTTCATCTCTGCACAGGGAAAACGACTGACTCGTGGCTCGTGCCACAAAGGAGAAAGTCGCTCAAAAGAGCGACTTTCTAACCTAAAATGGTTATCTTTTTGAGTCCTACTCGATTTGCGATGACAGGAGGTACATCGACGGTGTGATTGAAATCCAGCATGGAGCAATCGTTACTGTTACTGTAATATTATGAATGAATGAATGAATGAATATACTTTTATTGTACACCACGAACAAATATACAAACGTCATAACAAAATCAGATTATAATATGTACAATTTGGCGGCCTTATCGCTACATAGCGATCTCTTCCAGGCAACCAAAGGTGTAAAGTAATACAAACAATGAATAGGTAGGTGGTAGGTGGTGCAATATAAATATACAAATAATAAATGCAAAAAAAAAAAAAGATATAAATAACTAAGTAATACATGAAATAATATAAATTACTAACACATAATAAAAGATAAGGTAACACATATAATATATACATATACATACACATATACATACATATATACATACACACATATATATAAACATATATACATAAATATACACACAACACGTATATATCAATATATATATATATATATATACAAAATTCCTCAAACAATAATATAAAACTGATAGATACAATAAATACATAATCACACAATCTATCCTAACGGTCTCCGAACGACTGAGACAAGTAATGCTCTTTAAGTAATCGCTTAAAGATAACAATAGTTTGTGCCTCACGTATATGCAAAGGTAGGGCATTCCAGAGCTTAATAGACTGGACAGTAAAAGATTTATTGAAAAATGATGTATTGTGAGTTGGCACACTTAAAATGAATTTTCTAGAAGAGCGTAAAGGTTCCCCCGGAAGCCCCACAAAATTAAACTTCTCCTTTAGATAGGGAGGAGTAGAAGGGTGAAATAATACACAGTACAGAATAGAAAGTATATGCATGTTCCGGCGAAGTCGGATAGGTAACCACTTGAGACGTGAGCGAAATTGGGAAATATGGTCAAATTTGCGCAATCCAAATATGAACCGAATACTAGTATTTTGAAGTCTCTCAAGCTTATTTAGCTGGTCCTCAGTTATGTCTACATAGCTTGCGTCAGCATAGTCGAGAATCGGAAGGAGAAGAGACTGTGCGAGCATAATTTTTGTAGGAATGGGAAGAAATGATCGAAGGCGACGCAGTGAACAAAGAGCGACAAAAGTTTTCTTACTTACCTCATTCAGTTGGCGTATCCAATTTAAGGAATTATCAATATAAATACCAAGATTTTTGACATTGTCAAAGTAAGGGATAACAACTCCATCGAATACGATAGGTGGTACAGAGAACCAGTCAATTCTTGAGATAAAGCTCTGGCTACCAATAATGATAGCCTGAGACTTTTTAGGATTGACATTTAGGCCATATGATTTACTCCACTCGTGTATAAAATTTAGATCCTTATTTAATGTAGCGATTGCATTCGGCAGATTCTCAAGAGTTGACTGGGTGTAAATCTGGACATCATCCGCATACATGTGGTAGAGAGAGGATATTTTATGAGTGATTGAATTAATGAAAATGGAAAAGAGTAAAGGTGACAACACGCCGCCCTGCGGCACGCCTGCAGTTATATCACACCAAGATGAGTGAGTTTCATCGACACGAATACACTGCCGACGGCCACAGAGATAACTTTGAAACCAGTCAATTACTGATGGAGATATGTTAAGGGAACATAACAGACTCAACAGTATATCGAAGTCAACAGTATTGAACGCATTACTGAAATCCAGCAAGGTCATGACTGTGAGTTGTTTATTATCCATACCCCACCGTATGTCATCAGTAACTTTGATTAAGGCAGTAGCCGTACTATGACCTGGACGGAAACCGGATTGTAAGGAATTCAATAAATTGTGCTTATTAAGGAAAAGGGTCAGCTGTTGGCAAATAAGTTTTTCAAGGACTTTAGAAAGGAAAGGTAAGATCGAGATGGGACGGAAATCAGAGAGGTTGACGGGATTAGATTTCTTTGGAAGGGGTATAATATGAGCACTCTTCCAGGCTTGAGGGAATTTAGAGGAAGAGACACAAGCATTGAGTAAATAAGTGATAATGGGAGTAATAACATCAAGGAGAGGAACAATCATATTACGGCTAATGTTGTCGCTACCGGCAGCATTTGAGGAGATGGATAATATGGTCTTCTTAACATCACATTCAGTAAACTGACTAAAAACGAACGGAGGATAATTAGGAGTCGGAATTACAGAAAGCGAACGAAGTGTTTGCAGTTTATGTTCGCTATCAAAAGAGTTAGAAGGATTAGAAAAATGTTGATTTAATAGTTCAAAATCAACACTAGGAGGTGAAGTATTTAGGGATGTTCTACCAACTCCAACTGTTTTGAGAAACTTCCACACCCTAGATGAGTCGCCGTTCTCGACTGATGTATGAATATGGCGTCGTTGCGCATCTCTACACAATGTGTTGCATCGATTCCTGATTTTGGCGTATTTCCTTACGTTTTCCTCTGTTTTATTCCTCTTAAGCTTTGACAATGCCGCATTCTTCTGCAAAATAAGCTTCTTCAGATCATCAGAGAGCCATGGAGCAGGTAGGTGTTTAAGTCTCACATAATGCATTGGCGCGTGGACGTCATAAAGCTGAGTGAGAAGAGAACAGAACAGTTCCACTTTATCGTCAATGCATGGAGCTCTCTCGATCACTGACCAGTCAATATTATAAGCATCTTCACAAAGTTGTTCAATATCCATTCCTCCAAAATTACGTCGCAGAACTAATTTGGGTTTGATTTTAGGAGGGCGTAGTTTATACGAAAGAAAAATTAAATCGTGATAAGAGAATGCATCAGCAGGGCACTGTCCGTGCTTGAAAACTAAATTGGAAGATGACACCATTATTAAGTCAAGAAGGGAAGGAGTACTGTTAGGAAAGTTATGAGTAGCAGAAAGGGGTAGGATTTGCATATTACACGCTTCAATTATAGCTTCAAGTTTTATAGATCGATTGTCGCCTTTAAGCAAACAGGTGTTAAAGTCACCCATCAAAATAGTGTGACTATACGTAGGGACTAGTGATTCTAAAAGAGATTCAAAAGAAGTAAAATAATTTATAGAAAGGGAGGGACTGTAGAAAACTCCAAGTAGGATTTTATTCTGAGACAGGGAGACCTCAACCAGCAAATGCTCAGCAGAATCAACAGGAGGTGGTTGACTTGACGAACTAACAATTTTAAATGGAAGGTAGGATCTTAGATAGATCGCCACGCCCCCACCACCCCTATTAGTGCGGTCATTTCTAATTAGATGAAACCCAGGCAAAGAATAAGAAGTGGAAGGCAGACAGGGTTTTAGCCAAGATTCTGAAACTAAAATGGCGTGAATATTTTGGGATTCAAATGACGCAAGCATGTCAGGATAATGAGCCGGAATGCTTTGGGCGTTAATATGAATAGCATTAAAGTTATTCACACAGTCTGAGAAAAAAGAATTTAAGGTGATGTTGAGTGAAGGAGGAGCAGTTGTACTGTGATAACTATCATCACTAAGTGTCCCATCGTCCGAAGACAACGATAGAAACAAATCACTATCGTTACAAATGTTTGAGGAGGCCATAAATATTAAATTAAAATATAAAATAAATTCTTATATACACTAAAAAAAAAAGAAAAAAAAAATATAAATAAAGATCGAAAGGTACCTATACTATTACAACCACCAGCAGCATGAAAGAGAAAGCACATAACAAAACAACAACTTAAAGAAATAAAACAATCAGTTTAATATAAAAATTACCAAAACCTTGCAGTCTGACGCCAATAGATTTTAAGACATTTTGAAACTGTAAACGTCAGACTAGGCAGTATGGATTAAGATGCCTTTGCCAAAGTTATAAAATAAAATAAAAAATAAGAAAGAAATCTGACAACAGGTAACAACTGTCACTGTTAGTATAAATAAAGGTATTTATACGTAAATATTATTAACAAAAAATATAATGATTAATTAATCTACCAGTTATGTGAAATAATTAAAATAATTTCAGTAACAATGTGTGTTGCAGTGGAAACCTATTATAAAACTTATGTCTTAAAAATGAATGGCAAAGAATTATAATTAAAACCTGATTACCTAAAAGTTACAAAAATATAAGAATTGAGCTGCTGGAGTAAATTAGTAAAAACAAAATCATAAGAAAAACATATATATATTATTACAATTTAAGAAAACTTATTTACATTGACCATGAGCTGTCCTAGTAAAAACACTGGATCATAGACATTAAAATATTGTTTTTTTTTTCTTTGCAAATTTTAGGTCAATCGGCCGTCTACAAGTTGCTGAAAATTACATCAAAAGATTCCATTACATAGATAGATAGATTGATGGATAGATACCCGCGAAACTAATAAAAGTGTGTTAAAAAAAATACTACTCTTTAAAAAAAATACATTGGTAATATGTGTATTATATGATATGATGTGCTATTTTTTTACGAGTTCATAGGATGATTTCAGTTTTTTACTCAATTTATCCACATCTTTTAACAACTTTGCTGCTTCTTTCGCTAGTTTTGTCTCCTTTATTTCTTCGTCATACGTCTTTTTCTCTATACATTTTATGACATTTAAGTCAAATGTAGACAAATCCAACATAATATTGTTATATTCTTGTTCTAAAGCCAAAACCAAATCTAATGTACTAAGATTTGTTTCATTTTGTGCAATTAATCGTTCGTAGGCAAATTCTACATAGTTAAAAATTTGTAGGGGCGTCTTAGAAGACACTAGGAATTTAAATTTGTCTTCTAATATTCTGTAGAATTCTCTTTTCAATTCTATTTCTCGCCGTTCATTCTCCTCTATGCATTTTTCAACCTCGTATATCTGAAAATAACACAAACATACAGATGCCTAGAGAAGGAGAAGCAAAAGGGGCCACGACCCAGGGCGGTACACTTTAAGAGGCAGCATATCGTGAATGAAAGATTTTCGGGAATATTAGGAAAGTGCAAAAGTTAATTAAAGCTAAAATTAATGTCAAAAATTATATAAATGTATGTAAATAAAAGCAAGAATCAATTAATAAACTTAAATTATATTCATTTGAGGTGGAAAATATGAATAATTTATGAGAGACCTAGATAAGTTAGTGTCTAAATTCAACAATTTTGTCACTTAAAAACTCCCTAGAAATCATATCAAATAAATATGCATCGGCTCAGAATGAGATAAAAGAACACATATTGGCCATGAATGATCTGGTAAAGTAATGTAACTATAATGAGGAGCGCTTTGACTCCTTAATAAAACATCAGAGTAAGTATCAGCGCTCCATACCAGGTTCATCGAGGACAATATGTGTAAATAATAATTATAACAGTAAGGACTCATTATTTTCACCTACACTCTATGACAGTGCCATGACAAAGAATATTAACTTAAAAAGTAATTTAAATTTTACGTGGTAGAGCCATGCTGCAGCTATATTAGTAGTATAGTTGTAGCACGAATGGGTCGGCTAGACCAGGAAAGGACCACGCTTTCACAGAATTGCAGCGTAAAATAGCAGCTTAACGCTGCTGTGTTTCGTATGGTGAGTGTAGAGAACCAGAGACCCTTTTTACTGGAAATGAGGCATTCCATCTTAGTCCTCACGGTTGACAACGCATTTTGATTCATAATCGAGGATAGATGTAGATGTCTATGGGCCGAAACAACCACTTACCATCAGGTGGATTGTGTGCTCGTTTGTCACCCTTATGCTATAAAAAAAATAAAGTTATTATGTATTGTGATGACATAGGTAAAAATTTGGGCATGATGTTAAATACCTGTTTAAAAAGACTGGTTAATAATTATTATATGACTGGAGCATCCTTTAGTCATATAATGAATAAAGTTTTTACTAGTAAGTTTTGCCCTAAGAGCACATTAATAATTCTTGTAGGGAGAAGAGGCAATGTAAACAAAACTCAATTATTAAAATGTATTGATTATCTAAATACTTTAAACTTACATAAAATTATCATGTTTATATTGCCTTATGTGCGTCAATTGCAGTCAATTATTACATCTCAGGTAGAGAAAGATACCAATAATCTGATCCATTTCCAATAATCGGAAACAGTAGTACCAGCTACACGACTCCACTGAGTCAGTAATTCATTCTTGGGCATACTTGGACATATTCAAAGCGTATACATCGCGTATACGCTTTTACAACAAAATCCCAGAAAATATACAAAATTTAACCTGCTCAAAGTTCAAAAACTTTATTAAACTAAATTTGTATAAAAAGGGTTATTATAATATTAAGGAATTTATGGATCATAATAACCTCTGGGAATGAGGTGATCGCTACCAAGCTATTTCTAATTTGTTTTGTGTGGTTAATTATATAAGTACATGATTGTAAGCTGTTATTTAAAAAAAAGTCCCGCTGGGTTTCTTGCTGGTTCTTCCCCGGACAGAGGTTTTTTTTCGTACCAGTGGTAATTAAACAAAAGAGTGACTTTCAATAAGTATTATTTATAATCTATATAGAATAAAAAAGTTTCTATTTCTGTTTGTGTTTCAAAAAGCCAAATGCCTTTTATACTCTTTGCAAGCGAGTTGGTAACCGGATTTTTATAATTTGCAATTGTTATCAGGAAGATGCTGCTGCCCACCTCCTATATAATTTCCCTCTATCGCCTCTTCTGATATCCACTGTCTGTTAGGCGGTAGTTAGTTAGGTAATGGATTTTGTGTACCGGCGAAGAGTAATGATAAGTATAAAAATACGTTATAAGTTCTATTCATTTTCAAATGATATTCACAGACAATAGAATTTTTTTACTGATATTTCACATTTAAGATAATTCGCAAATGAGAGGTAATAGAGGTACGGCAGCTAGTCATGCTATACCAATACATACAAACAAATATTCTATAATCAATAATACATTAAATTACCTTATCCTGTATATAATCCAGTTCATGCCGTAGTAATGTTTTAAGAAGAATTGATGATTTTACAAATTTATTCTTCTCACTGCGAAGTTCCTCGGTTTTAAGGAGATAATTTAAAATTTGCTTTTCTAACAATTCAAATATCACTTGAATTTGTTCGGGAGTTTCAAAATATAGTCGTGGTGGAGGCATTTTTTCTAATCTTTCGCTTATGAGGTTTACATCTATTTCATTAAAAATATCTGTGTCCATTGTAAAAATTTCCAATTGCCCCGTAACCAGTTTCAATTTCTGACTGTCTCGCCATAAAATTGGGGCCGCATTGAAAAGAAAGTTTTGAAAAGACAACAATATTTGCAAGGTTTCGTCAATATATTGGAGTTTAGACTTGAGAGATGCGAAATCATAAAGAGCTTTTTTGTGTTCCTCTATTTGGTTTGACAGCTCTTTGGCCAAACTATCCGAATTTCTCATAATAATTATGGTTTTATCGTTGTCATCTGCTAGAAATTTGTTAAAACTCTCTTGACATTCATTAAAATGTATTGAAGCAGTTTCGTAAATTTTCCTTTCCGTTTTGATGTCTCTTTCAATACGCAGTATCTCATCTACTAGAAGCCCGTGAAGAGTTCGTTTTAAAGCAACTTCTTTAACGTTTCGTTTATATTTACGAATAGATGTGTCCGGTCTTATCGGTCTACCATCAACTAACGAATAAAAATCAGGGTCTACGTCTAAAACTGTCTTAATTTTGCTACCGTTTGGATCTTCAATAGGCGGAAGATTAAGGCCTGTTTTTCCGGGCGACTTTTTTAACAACTTGTTTTTATGCATCTTTGTAAACAATTCTTTAATACACTTACTGAGTACCTTAATCGGTGAGAGTGGTTAGTTCAATATTACCATAGTAACTTTCGTTAGGTACTCCACGAGCTCTAATACAGCTATATCAATAATACTTAGCACTGGTTTATAATTCATTGTAATTCTATGTATTTTTATTTGTTTATAACACAAAGTTTTTAATAATAACTTTATTGTTATTGTAAAAAAATAATTATAGCCATTAAATATCATTATAACACGTATCAAAATATGGACACGTTAATACGGATGAATTATGTGACTTTTACTACTACATCTTTTTTATTTTCAAACTTAAGTATATGCTTATTTTATAACTTTCTTGTTTTGCTTTACTACAAACAAGTGACCTTATTAAAATAATTTTATTTTAATACATCATAATTTTTTGCCAACTGCTAGAAGTAGATTTACACTATCGCCATCAGTTTGTACTTTGTCTACTATTAAATATAGTCTTTACTCAAATTGAGATTTGCCGTGATCGCTTCAATTGACTGACATATTTATCGTAAGCGAAGCTTAAAGAGAAAATGTTATTCTTTTTTTTTGTAGTATAAGGGTATCCACCGATGGTAAGTGGATGCTGTGGCCCATATCCGGCTACATTTATCCTCGATCAAGAATCAAAATGCAGATGCGTGGTCCCCCTGAGGACTAATATGGAATGCAAAAAAGGGTCTTCGGTGTAGAGACACGCATCATACGAAACAGCAGAAGTAAGCTACTATTTAAAGCTTGTATTCTGTCAGAGCGTAACCGTCCCATTCGTACTACAACCATATTTATTCGAATTTCAACATTTACAAACGATAACCAAACCAACCGGTGTTAAATGATCCAGTAACCTGTATGAACATGATCATGAACATGACACCCACGGGGTGTCGTAGGAGGTGGCAGAGAGAAATGAAACAGGGGATGGCCAAACCAAATGTACATAAATGAAAACAGTTTTCTGTTCCTCTATTTCTACTAAAAGATTAGTTGTATATTAACATTAAAATTATTTATTAAAAATCACTTGTCTGATTACGAGATTTTATTATCTTTATCAAAAAAAAAATAACAAGAGATATAACAATAATTATAGTTCAAAACTTTTAATCACTATCTAAACTATCGGCACTTTGTTCCTCCTCCCTAGCGGTTTCTCTCCCCTCTTCTTCAACCTCCTTTTTGGCTAACTCCCAGGGCATAACCGGTAGGGGCTCCACAAATGAATCGTCTATCTTGAGCTTGTACAGCAAACGTGGTGTGTAATGAGTAGGTAAAGGCCATACATTTTCTAAAACAATAAATATTTTTAAACAACGATAACTTCATTTGATTTCTTTGCCCAACAGTACGCTTGTATATTTATAATTACCACAAGTGGTAAAATTAAAAATTTTGTACAACCGACTTCAATATAAATAAAATGAGAAGATCATCAATTTAGTTGAAGTCAATTTAATACGCATTATTAAGGATAACTTAAAAACTACAGGTCATATCACCCCAGGTGCACCCTGCTACTAATAAACATGGCTCCGAGTCTGACACTCAACTGATGGCCTAAAATTCGACGCTCACAAATCGGTATGCAATTACATTACGAACACAAATCCCACAGACTAATGAAGAGACTATATTACCACTACGAGAATATCTAGATTGTAATGATAGTAAAATCCTCCCTACGACAAGGGAGGCTTTTGTCTGATAGTGAACTTTTTTGTACGTATTTTTTTTACTACGTTTTATTTTTAGTTTCTGTTTTTAAGGGTTCATAAACAACTATAAGTCTCTCACAGAATACCATTGTAAAATAGCAACTTAACGCTGCTGTGTTTCGTATGCTGAGTGTAGAGAACCGGAGACCCTTTTTACTGGAAACGAGGCATTACATCTTAGTGCTCACGAGTGACAACGCATCTGTATTTTGATTCGTAATCGATAATAGGTGTAGATGTCTATGGGCTGCAGTAATTACTTACCATCAGGTGGACCGTGTGCTCGTTTGTCACCCTTATCCTATAAAAAAAAACTATACTTAAGTGTATTCATCTGTAGTGTTCACAAGTTCACAAATCTTTTAACACTACGATTCCCCGAACAAACGAGTCATTAACCCGCGAGCACACGCGCGGGGTTCTGTCAGCACCCAGAGATTTTAGAACTTAAAAATTAATGCCAATTTGTTTGTTTATGGACGTGTGCATTTGAGTTGCTTCAAGTAACCTTTGAAAGCGACGGCAAGAGGTGGGAGGGGCAGTGGAGTGTATCGCTAGCGCTTGTTTTTTGTGGACGTGTCAAAATTTGCGCGCGGTACCCACGACACCCCCATTTATAGACCTAAATACGGTCGGTATAACCCGTTATTTCTAAGCATATCTAACCTATACAACTAAAAGAAAGACAATATTTTGCAAAAGATTACCGAAATAAAAGACATAGTCGTCAACTCTTCTATGAAAGTGCATAAAACGACGAAGTTCTAGAATGTACTTAGATCCCAGCAGAAAATCTAGCAAAGCTACTTCAGGTAAGACTTCCATTTTCGGATCCACCGCGTTTAACCCTTCAAACGACAACTAAAATAGTAAGAAAGGCTTAGTTAAGCATCAAGAAGAAAGAAATTTTTTGAAAATAATCTGTTATAATATTTTGTGATAATTTTTCTTAGAGACCTAAAACAGAATGGTTTCGTTGTTTATATTTCAAGTGACTATAGAGTATTGTCTATAATACAATGTATATAAAGATATAAACGAACATGAATAATGGGACTATACCATAAACATTATATTTATATTAGATTGACTGCCTCGTTGATCTAGTGTTCGTAAGAGTGACTGCTTATCACATTGTTCCGGGTTCGAATCCCGACTCGGCCTAAAATCAGTTATTGGAGTTTACATACATATAATCACGCCTCTTTCCCGTAGGGGTAGGCATAGACCACTTCTTTCCATACTTGTTTCGCTTCGTCCACTTTCAATATTCCCTTCATACATGCTCTTCGGTTTAGGGTACTCTTGACCTGGCCTTTTTTCAAGACGTCCCTGATTTGGTCTAGAAAGGTCCGCCTAGGTCTACCCCTTCCAATACTTTCATTCACACTCGCCTTATACACCTTTTTCGTCAATCGTTCTTCATTTATTCTCTCGACATGGCCAAACCATCTCAGCATACCTTTCTCAATTTTTGTCACTACATCTTCTTTTAGACCACAACGTTTCCTTATCTCACTATTTCTTATCCTGTCACTCAGTTTAACTCCTATCATACTTCATAACGCTCTCATCTCAACTGCATTAATTCTGCTTTCATGTTTCTTCTGCCATACCCAACTTTCACTTCCGTACATGAGTGTCGGAACCAACACCCCCTCACGCACAGCCAAACGAGCCTTGTTAGACACCTTCCGACTGCTCATAAAAGAGTGCAAAGCTCCATTCACCTTGTTTTCCGCATTCACTCTTCTTTCGATATCACTCTCACACTTTCCATCTTTCGTAAACTTTGAACCCAGATATACAAACTCCTCCACCTGTTCAATTTATTCATCTCCAATCACGATATTGCAGTCTGTCACTGCCTCATCTCTTTCAAACACCATCACTATCATCTTCTTTACATTCATATTCATTCCCTTTTTAACAAAAGCTCCACTCATACCAGTTACCATTTCCTGCAACTCCTCGGCTGAAGACGCAAGTTGTACTTGGTCATCAGCATATAGAAAACATTTGACGAGTAACTCATTAATTCTCAACCCACTTTCATTCTCTTTTAAATCTGTCAAGCAATTGTCCATGAACAGATTAAACAGCCACGGTGACGCTACACATCCCTGTCTAACACCTTTTTCGATATTAAACCATTCAGTGTATGCCCCGTTTATCCTTACACAAGCACTAAAATCCCTATAAAGAGATTGCAATGCTCGTATAAGGATACTGCTCACACCGCTCACGGACAGTGCTGACCACAATTCATTCCTCACCACTCTATCATATTGGAGTTTATTTCAAAGAAATTCTCAGTAGCAGCGAAAAGTAGAAAGTTTATCACTGCCAACTTTCTCCGTGCCTCGGAAATGTTGTAAAACTGTTGTTTCTGCGCCTGATCTCTTCCCGGTTGTGTCGGATTGACGTTCCAACGGAATATGAGTGATTGAATAGAGAGCACCTGTGCTTACGCACACACTCCTACACAATAACTCTGCGCAGAGGACTAGTGTCTGTGGAGACTGGGCGCCGTGACCGAAATTGGTCAGGGAGAACATACATTTTTTTTTATAGGATAAGGGTGACAAACGAGCACACAGTCCACCTGATGGTAAGTGGTTGCTGCGGCCCATAGACATCTACATCTATCCTCGTTTGCGAATCAAAATGCAGATGCGTTGTCACCCGTGAGGACTAAGATGGAATGCATCATTTCCAGTAAAAAGGGCCTCCGGCCACCTGCACTCACCAAGCGAAACACAGAGGTAAACCTCTACTTCACGCTGGTATTCTGTGAGGTCGTGGTACCACCCCGGTTCAAGCCGGCCCATCCGTGCGACAGCAATTCTGCCGCGTGGCTCTACCACTGTTAAAAATACATAATAAATACATACATAATAAATATGTAGTTAATTTTGTTACGTGTGTAGGCATGTTATATTATTTATTACGGCTTCGTCAGGGTGGGATCAGGTAGGATTAATTTGGCGTTATTTAGTTTTAAGATAACCAAAGACTAATTATTTTATACATTTTCCGTAAAAAGATATACTTAAAATTAATCAGATAAAATTTAGTCTAGATCATTTCAGTCATTGTTCTCCATTTGAAGTTCATTAACTTTCTCATTTTATGAAGTTTTATTATAATTGGTTCAGTTATCTTGAAGTTTAGCCTGAACAAACAGACAGACAATTAGACAATCTGCCAAAAATTATAAAAATGATTTTGATATTACAGATTCTTCTTCAACTTTAAGTATAGATTTATTTTGATTTTTATTGTTACTACCTTACCTAACAATGAATGAACCTAATTTTTAAATCTAAAAAAATCACTCAAGAAGTTACAGAAGATTTACTTACTTCCAAATTATCCTTAGCAAGTATGCAGAGCTTCTTAATCTTATCAAGAAAAATCCGCAAATGCTCCATGTGTTCAGTAATGGGTCCGTACACATCCAGCTTGTCGATTAGCGATAGCGGGCGGGCGATTAGCGCTCGCCAACCATTAAACATTCGCTGCATTTTTAATCAAAGTCACTTTAAAAGGTGAATGTAAAATAAAATAATTATTATAATTGGGTTGTTCGCTTACTGTGATATATACAGCGAGCGCTACCAACACGCATTGGGGCAGCGCGGCACTTTTCTGCCGACTTCCAAAATGGAGACGGTACTCAATTCGACTGTATGTTTTTTTTTATGTGTGTTAACTTATAACTTTTTACTGGGTGAACCGATTTCGATGATTCTTTTTTTATTTGAAAGCTGTAAAGTGCGGTACTTCTCGTGTGGTCCCATATGAATTTAATCAAGGTCAGACCAATGGTTTTTGAGTTATTCTTAATAACTTATATTGAAGTCGACTGTACAAAATTTTTTATTTTAAATTATGCTAGCCCTACTACCCTCTCACAAATTAGAAGAGGCCTGTGCCGAGGATTAGGAGGCTGTAACTTTAATTATATTTTATGTATCATCTTTATTCGTGGCTGCGTCTGTTAGTTTTCGTGATACTTCTAAACGACTTAACCGATTGAGATCACTATCACTACTGATGCCGCCTATAGCCGCAACCGCTACTATAACCGCACCATCACTATCACTTCTGATACTGATGAGTGATGAGCTATCAAAGTAAAAATAGGCCTCAATGTAGATTGTCTCATAGGGGAAATATTTGCCATAGTTGTCACGGTAGCAGATGGGTTGACAACCGCAATTTTTTAATTTCTAGTTGTTATTAGGACGATGTTGCTGCCCGTCTACTGGTGTTTCCCTCTGTCACCTCTTACGAGACCCGAGGACCAATATGGGGTAAACGATATTCTTACACCGCCACTACACGGCTACTTCATATTTCCACAACAATATAATATTTGTTTTGTCGAGACGATGGTTTATAGCTATGCCACACCACATATAAGGTTTACCAACGTCTGCCGGGCCAGCTAGGAATAGTGTAAAAATATATTTGTGTATATACTACACTTGAGAAGTTACTATGGAATACTTTATACAAAAACTACTCCCTCCTTCGTTCAAAATAAGGTTTCTTTTAAACTGCCCCATTAATTTTACTTAGTAATTTCTATGAGTACGCTGATGGTAGCACAGTTGGTGTTTCAGTTGTTATCATGGTTGAGCGTATGAATCTCTCACAGCAAGCAGTCTCCCAATGGGGCGAGAACTATCTTGTGAGATTCAACGCCAACACACACACATGTCTCTTCACATTAAAAAGGAGCCAGCTCACCTTGGCTTCTTCTTTTCGAAATGTATCATTAAAATTCACCGAACGCCTTCAGGTGCTGTAAGGCATTTGAGTGTCCTTGCGAAGGTGGCGATACTTCACACGGGGACAGTTGCTTACACTATATTCAGAGCAATTCCGATCTTATATGCTGCCATATGTAGGCTGGTGTTGAATGCCGCCTAGCGACTTTACTCAATAGAGAGACGTGCTAGGGGCTTATCGGTGACACCAATATGAGTAATACTTATCTTACCAGTCTCGGAAACAGGCGAAAAGTAGACAGCATTTCAGTGTTCTACAGGATACATTTCGGAGAGCGTGCACAGGAATAGCATGACTTAACTCCTACCCACGTTCCATCACCGGACAACCAGACACTCGATTAGTCTCCACCTCTTCGTTGTGGACATACCACGCATTCAAACCAAATTATGTTTGGTCAAGTTTATCTTATTTTTAGGTTAAGATTTACTTCGTTTATAATGCATAAAGCAAAAGTGTGGAATAGTTTGCCAGCATATGTCTTTCCATCCGATTACAATATAGGTGTTTTCAAGGCAAGATTGAATCGACTATTGTTAAGCTAAGTGGTATGTTTTATCATCTTCAGCTGCTTCACCACTTACCACCATGTTTGATAGTAGACAAGCACTAGCTTAGGTAAAAATACTCAACAGCAGTTTAAAAAAAATTTAAACACGGCTTAAGTACGTGAAGCGAGAATAATGAATTAAGAGGAGTTTATGAAGTAAGCTGTCGCAAAGAAACTGTTTTCCCCGATTTTTCTTAATACACTTTTCTAAAACACATTTATGATAATATATGGCTGAAAGCAATTCTATCCCAAAAACTGGAAAGAATAGGAAAACGCCTCCTTTCTTGTTTCAATAATAAATTGTGCAGATTGCACGTGTAAATGCAATATAATTTTACGAGATATGAGTATATGCTAATAAGTACCGTTTGTATAGAATGATAAACCATTAAGGCCTTTAATCGCTTAAAAATCTTTTTTTCTGGTTTTGCAGTTTGTGAATCAAGCATAATTGACAACGCTTCTCCAGTTTGACCATCCGTACTTCTTTCATCTTTTTCTTCTTCTTTATCCTGTTCCTCCATTTCCTTTAACCATTGAACCTCAAGATTTAACAGAAATCTTAGCTGTCGATGAACTGTGTCTTCAGAGCCCTATAAAATTAATGTAGTAAATAAGTATTAATATTTAAGTATTATTTTTAGTTTCAGTTGCAGTAATCAAAGAAAATATAATGAGACAACCTGCATGCTAGAAGACTACAAAATATTTCTTCTACATTCACGTGGACATTGAACATATTCAGAAATTAAAGAAGGAATTTACTTTCAGTATCTGTTCAACTCTTTTCATATTAATAATAATTCTGAATGTTCCTAAATAATAAAAACGAAAACAAAGTTTTTATTTGCAAACAAATACATACTCTACCTCAATAATATGTACAAAATAGCTGTCATACACCAATAGCACGCCAGCTACATTTATATCGCAGTAACTTGAATTAACATCTCGCATTGTCTTTGAAAATAATTTTATTATTTCCTCTTTCTTTAAAGTATGTTCACCGACATATACCATACGTATTGCGTAGGTTTTCTACAATTTTAAATATATAAATATATTAAATATTAAAATAAAGTATAATTTAGCTCAGATGGTTAGCGCTTGCTGTATAAATGTCACAGTACGCGAGCAAACCGGGTTCGATCCCCGCCGGCACCAATGAAATTGTTAATTGCAATTTTAAATGCTGATTTACCACGTGCTCGGCGGTGAAGGAAAACATCGTGAGGAAACCTGCATGTGTGAGAAATAAGAAAAAAAATATTACGATGACATGTGAAGTTCGCCAACACGCATTGGGGCAGCGCGGCGGACACTTATTTGCCTTAAAACCCTCTCAGAGATGAGGGGAGGCCTGCAGTGGGACGTATTTAGGCTATAACTTTACTTTTTTGATAATTTACGTAGGAGGGATTCGAAAGAATTAATTTGCAACACTGTATTAACGCAGTTTAAATGATTTCTTACTTAAATTGATTGAGTCATTATTAATCATCAGTTATTGGGGTATTATGTCAAAGAAATTCTCAGTGGCAGCGCAAAGTTAAAAAGTTGGCAGTTTTAATCTCCCGTGTCTCAGGAAGCACATAAAGCTGTCTTTTTGGTAATGTGTGATTGCCATCACATCGGCCATCCTTTCATCGAGCTATGAGAGTAAGGGAATAGAAAATGCACCTGTGCTAACGCACACACTCGTACACTGTAATTTTATATAAATAATTTTATGTTCCGTTTCATACTTTAAGTTCCAACGTTGGACAGTAAAGTAAAAGTTAACAATTAAATCATCTTATGATCATTAAGGTACTCTGTAGGTAACAATGCTTTATTTCACTATAGAGCAATAAGAATTTTCAGATTATGTATGCCAATTGGTGGATTATGAAGCCTACGTCGTGCAAAAAGTTAATACTGTTAAAAGAGAAGAAAGTAGTCTCCGGATGTTTGCATAAATATCCAAAAGCCCGTAAAAATCTTAAGACATAAAATACGCAGAAGTTATCCAACTGATCACCACGCTGTTCATCGCTTCGCTTTTTGCGGGGGTAACGGGAACGCTATCGCATGCTACCGCAGTTGCGACGGTGGTTGCCCTTGCAGGCTCATCTCGATGAGGAGTGGAGCTAGAGTTCTTCACCCCTCCTTCATAAGAGAGCGCACGAGAAACACACTGTATGCACCACCTCGAGGCGTATGCTGCGCTGTGTCCTCATCGCTACAAAGTGGTGGCACTCAGTTGTCAGCTCCCATAGGGCAATACGGCACAGGTACTTAACAAAGGACCTTTCCTCAGAAAGCACCTGCACCAGCCGGAAGGTCAATGACGCTACTCACCCAGTCTGACAAGACGTGACGAACAGCCTTGACAGTCCTGCTTCCCGCTCTGGATGGTGGACCAGTCACTTTTTTCCACTGTTCTAGCATAAACTGCCAAGCGTGGAACCTTCAAACTCTCTAGGCGGGGGATGACCATCTTGAAGAGTTCCCAAGGAGGCCTGCCCGCCTGGAGAAATCCTGCCAATGTGAACGCCGCCTCATAAGAGATAGTGCGATATCCTCGTATGACCCCAACAGCCATCGCCATCTAAGGTCTTCTCAAGAAGGCAATTTTCCTCTCTGTCAACGCCTCCATCCAAACATATATCCCATATAGGGCCATGGATCGCACCACTCCCAGATAAGATGACGGCAATTCGCATCGGGCTCTCCAATGTTGAGTAAAACCTGTTTTAAGGTAGCTGCCGCTCCCATTAGTCGGGGGGTCAATCGAGCGTAGTACTCACGAAAGTTCCAGCGGCTATCGAAGATGAGACCAAGGTGTCTCATATTTCACTCATCGATGCGGACGTCAGTGACAATTATGTGGGACTTCAGTGGCGGTGCTCTCTGTGTTCTGTTAAAACACATGGTCTCGCACTTTTTAACGCCACTTAAGTAAGTCCTAACATACCTATGCTGCCGACAACCTGTCCCACAGATACAGAAGCAAGATGGACAGCCTCTTCAAAGTTCACGCCTCGGGGTTCATAACATATCATGTTCACGCCCGGGGGCAGAATGCTTCGCAACACCCAGTCGTAACCAGTGTTTCACAAAAGCAGTCCCAAGACCGAACCTTGTGGAACATCGCACGACATTTCCCTTCTTAACTACCTTCATGTCTAGAGTACGAAATGTACCCTTCAGAGAGGTAGTCCTCTACAGTTCGACGGAGATCGGGAGACTATAGTATTTCAATACCTCTCTGATGCAAGACCAGGGCAGAAATTTAAAAGCGTTTGCGATATCTAAGGACGCCGGCTACAGTTCTTCACGCATTTGATCGCATCAATTGTTGAACGGCTCACTCGGAAACCGAACTGTTTACCCGACAAATTGAGACCTACCTCAGAGATCTCTGATGAGACCAGCGATGAGTCGTTCGAAGAGCTTGTCCCATTCCTTTTCAGATGAACGAGCCTACCTTTCTCCTACCCTATGGGGAACCAACCCGTCTCTAGAGAGGTATCAAATAACGTACACAGTCGGTACCCTAACGCCTTGAGAGTCAAGACCCAGATGCGGCCAGGAATGCCGTTTGGCCCCGGGGCTTTGTTTTTGCCCGTAACCTTAGAACCTTAGTGCCTCTTGTGGAGACGCCATTACTGGTGGTGACCATTCTGACCTGCTCAGAAATAAATTGGTCACCAATTCTCCTAGGAACAGGGTTGGAGAATCTCAGTTAGCGGAGGCGCAGGGTCGAATTTTGTTGCTAACTATTTTCAATGGGTGCCCCACGGATCCTGGTTAAAAATATCCAGGAGGTCCTCTCTAGTCTAGGCCTCTCAGATGGAAATCTTATAAGCTTTTAAACGCTTCCTGTAGACCTCATACAGCTGATCTTCTATTAAACCATTCAGGAGCCATCTTCTACGATACCGAGTGTACTGGCATTATCACGCACCTAACCCACATAGTTGCGATTTTTCGAGACCACCAGTATACCTGGCGCTTAGGAAGTTGAGATCTAGCCCAAGGCATGCTCGCATTGCAAATGAACGTCATGGCATTCCGCAATCAGCTTGCTTCTCCTACAACCCTCACAGGCCAAGGAGGAGGAGTCAACCACGCTTCGACGATAGACGCCTCCTTTAGAACGTCTCTGTTGAAGCTTCTTACTGCCCATCTTGTTGAAGACCTTCTTCTGGGGCGATCGGCGCCTGAAGTTTCTGTAGAAGTGGAAACGACAAATCGGATGTTAAGGTAGTCTGACAGCGTCCTCCAGAACCTTCCAGTCTCGTTCACGATATGCTACGGAAGGGGATGCGAACGTAACATGCACAATTGATTCGGCGAGGCATGTATCTGGTGAAAAGTACACCTCGATAAGAACTATCTCTCTTACCACATATCCCTAACCCTTTGCGATAGTAGTGACTGGAGGGATAGGGCCAGCTCCGGAAGATAATATAGTAGTTACCAAGCCGTCGACATACCCTACCCAATTGTCACTAGGGGGACGAAATAAGGCTAGGCAACTATCGACACTTTGATCAACCACTGCGCCATTCTCTGTAAGTCCTGTGTACTAGAAGTGCACTAGCACAGTGGTTAGCGATCGTTTGCAGGAGACGATGACTTAACACAAATTATAATTAAATACTAAATAATACTAACCAATCCAATACGCTGGAAGTTTTCTTCTACAACATTTAATACAGATCTGTTATCTAGATTAGGCAACGCCATATTTGAATATAATACATAACGAGGAAAATAGTATACAAGCACGATTATCAAGCACGTTTTTTAAAAAAATTATCATACATAGCAATGAGTTTAAAATCACTAAATGTAAATAGTATTTCTTAAACTAACAATAATTGTCAATATGTTACCATAGAAACAGCTTGTTAACCAAAGAGAATATAATCACTAAGTTTTATTGATAAAGGCAAAACACAGCTCATAGACTTAGAGTAGTATATTCTAAGAGTGAGATCTATAGACCGTACTTTGACTTTGCTCAGACTTTACTTTCGAGCTTGTCTTAGCTGTCTGATGTCGGTATTTATAGAGCTAACTTCGAAGTCGTGCTCAGTGCGCGCTTAGCAAAGTCTATCGACGACTTACGAAAAACTCGAGGATATTATCCGAAACCACCGTATTAATTTTAAATTGTTGTTTTTATGTCACTCAATTATTCATTACAATAAATAGGTAGTTTTAGGCCGTCTTCTAGTTTTAAATAGCATTAATCCATTTTGTATTTATGTAATTTCAATCTTATTACGAAAATTATCATATTAATCATATTATTATCACTTAAAAATATCTCTCTTAGAATATTTTTTTCTTTTTTTTCTGATTTTGCACTCATCTCATCCGTTCTCACACGCCCGTTTTCTATTTCATGTAGTAATAACTTATTTATGAAATACAATTTGGACTGTTTATATATGTTACTGTAAAAGCTAGAACTACGGTAAATTCTAAGATTTTGCAATAAAACTTAAGATTTACCAAGTCCATAGGTAAAAGTCCGCAGTGTTCTATGGTAACCCTTTATTTCAGACTTTTACAAGCATTCACTCAGTAAATCTTAGTTTTTACCTCTAAGACACGGTAAATGTTGAAAAATAGTCAAGTCTAGACGTGATCGGCGCGACAGTGTGCAGCCCTCTCCGCTACCTGTGTCACCTTCTGTTTTTATTTTGAGACTGCAACGTCTCCGGCGCTGCGGGAAGAGCTGGCTCTACGCCTTTGCGTAACAAATCGTAGGCATCGGACAAGCCGGAGCGGCTGAGGCTTGCCGAAACATGCCGAAGCTGCGCAGGCGAGTTACAGCAGGCGGAGGCTGCTCCCCCTACGCGCCTCCGCCTCTATAAAAACACTCTAGGGGTAGGACAGACTCGTACCAGGTAAAGTTGGGGTCAAACAATTCGGTTCTTTGACATACTTAATTTATTAATCAATTTTATACACATATTGTATTGCTTTAGTTAATTCTTCGAAAACATCTTCTTCGAAAAGAATCGACATCCCTACTGACGATGACAATGACAATACAAAATAGCGTCAATTTTACGGTAGGAATTGACATAAATATTGCAAAAATAATTTATTTTCAATAATTTTTTCTCAAAAAATACGCGTTTTCGCATGTTGAAACTTTGCGTGTGTGCTTATAATCCTAATGTTACCTTTATGTATATCAACCCCCAACTCGACGGACGTCAATGGAAAACTTTATTTTCTATATTCTACTTTCAAAAATAACTATAAAAATGTGTTAAAATTATGTAGGTAATATGATTCAATGTTTAATAAATACTTTCTACTTCATCATCATCATTCATCATTACAGCCTTTCATAAGTCCACTGCTGAACATAGGCCTCCCCCAAGGAATGCCACAAAGCACGGTCCTGAACCACCTGCATCCATCGACTTCCTGCATGTCTTACCAGGTTGTCACTCCATCTCGTGGGGGGTCGCCCTACACTTCGGCTACCGGTACGAGGCTGCCACTCAAGAACCTTTCTTCCCCATCAGTTGTCGGTTTTTCGAGCTATATGGCCAGTCCACTGCCACTTCAGCTTACTAATCCGTTGGGCTATGTCGGTCACTCTGGTTCTACTGCGGATATCCTCATTTCTAAGTTTATCACACAGAGAAACTCCGAGCATAGCCCTGTCCATAGCTCGCTGAGCGACCTTGAGCTTCCTCATACGGCCAGCAGTGAAGTACCACGTCTCAGATCCGTAAGTCATCACTGGCAACACGCACTGGTTGTATAATTTCGTTTTAAGGTTTTGAGGAATGTCTGACGAAAAGATGTGTCGTAGTTTCCCGAACGCTGCCCAACCGAGTTGAATCCGTCGATTGACCTCTCGGTCGAAGTTGGACTTACCTAGTCGGACTATTTGTCCCAGGTAAACATACTCGTCAACAACTTCGAGCTTAGTGCTCCCAACAACTACCGGCATAGGTGTGACATATTGTGACATTGAACATGATCTTTGTTTTGTCCATGGTCATCTTAAGACCTATCCGTTGGGAGACACTATTGAGGTCATTGAGCATGATGCTTAGATCCTCCAGCGATTCTGCCATAAGGACTATATCGTCGGCAAGTCGAAGGTGAGTGATGTACTCGCCATTGATGTTAATACCGTATCCTTTCCAGTCCAGAAGCTTGAAAACGTCTTCCAATGCAGCGGTAAAGAGTTTCGGGGATATAACGCACCCTGTCTTACAACTCTCTGCAATTGGATAGGTTTCGTACTCTGGTTCTGTACTCGGATAGCCATCGTAGCCCTACTGTACAAGCACTTCAACACTTCGATATACCGACAGTCAACTTGGCACCGCTGAAGAGACTGCAGCACCGCCCAAATTTCGACGGAATCAAAGGCTTTCTCATAGTTCACATACGCCAGGCATAGTGGCAAATTGTACTCCTCGGATTTCTGTACAACTTGCCGAAGGGTATGTATGTGGTCTATGGTGCTAAAGCCCTTTCGGAAACCGGCTTGTTCGGGAGGCTGGAAGTCGTCAAGTCTGCGCGCGAGACGATTCGTAATGACTCGCTAAAACAGCACGTAGACGCGGCTCAGAAGGGAAATCGGTCTGTAGTTCTTCAAGAGAGCGTTGTCACCTTTCTTGAAGAACAAGACCACCGCACTTCTGCTCCACGCCTCCGGTGTAATGCCACCATGGAGGACGGAATTAAAGAGCTTCTGAAGGACTTCAAGTACCCGTTTTCCACCCACTTTCAGAAGCTCCGCTGTAATTCCATCCTTGCCTGGGGCCTTTTGTAAGATGCTGGAGAGCCATTCTAATCTCGCTCAGACTGACGTCCGGGATATCTGCGGAATAGTGTCGGATAAGACTCGCTCTTGGATCGTTACTCACACTTGCGTGTGGCTCCAACGATGACGTGTACAGCTGCCCATAGAACCTCTCAATCTCACTCAAAATTTTAGGTGCCCCTGAAACGATGCTGCCATACTCGGTCCTCAGCTTTGACAGTTGGCTCTTTCTGGCAGACAGATCTCTGGCAAAGACTTTGGAGCCTTGGTTCCGCTCGATCGCTTCTTCAATACAAGCTGTATTGAAGTTGCGTAAGTCCCGCCGCATGCATTTGGAAATCTGTCTGTTCAGTTGCCTGTATGCTGTGAAATCTGTTGAAGAATGTAGCTTCATCTCCCGTCTAACAGCCATGAGATTAAGAGTGTGATCGGAGAGTTTTTGTGTTCTTCTGCAGCGGGTCTTGCAGAACTTAGCTTCGACCGCATGGACAGTTTCCACGAGCTTGTCATTCATATCTTCCACTTCATTGCAGTTTTCTAGGCACTGAAAACGGTTTTGTAACTCGAGCTGAAAGGTTTCAGGACTTTGGAACAGAGCACGAGGGGGACGGAGCGTTGACTTCATTAGACGAGACCTCTCCAACTGAACGTTTAGTTTCAGTGTGCCTCTAACTATTCGGTGATCGCTACCAGTTTTCACCCTCGCGATCACGGAGACATCACTGAACAGTTGTCGTCTGGTCGTCATAATGAAGTCAATCTCATTTTTGTGGAACCGTCGGGCTCGACCAGGTCCACTTCCTGTGGGGCCGCTTCTGGAAGAAAGAGTTCATCATAAAGAGTCCCTCTATCACCATGAAGTCGGCCAGCTGCTGGCCCTTTTGGGTTCCGTTGCCCTATTCCAAATTTCCCTACTTTCAGCTCACCGTTCTCTCTTGTGCCTAGTTTTGCATTGAAGTCTCCCATTAACACCGTATATTTAGTTTTGGAGGAATGCATGGCTCTAGAGATATTCTCATACGTTTCCTCCACCTCCTCATCGGGTTTGGTGCGTAAACCTGTATGACCTTCAGCGTATTCGCCGTTTGGTGATTCTGAGTATAAGGTACGCAACCCTCGTCGACACACTCTCGATCTTTACAACGTTGTTAACGAGAGACTTGTGGACGATAAATCCGACACCTTCTTGGGACAGATGGTCGCCCTCCCGGTGACAGAGCAAGTTGCCGGATTCGAGGATTACCGTGTCCTCCCCCTATCTTCGGACATCGGATAATCCTATAATATGCCAGCGTAACTTGTCTATCTCTTCTTCCAGCTCCACGATCTTCTCGTCAGTCCTCAGGGTGCGTGCGTTGTACGTTGCCAGGTCGAGTCGTCTAAGGTGGCAACCGAACCTCCACCGGAGATTCTTAGCACCCCCTGCTCCGCCGTTACCATGGTCGCCACCGTAGCCAGCAATAGCGGGGCCGTCGGGGACTGAGGACCGTCTCTTTGTTACTCTCTTCATAGGGGGGTATTTGCCATAGTTGCCACGCTTGGCGAGCGGGTTGGCAACCGCAGTTTTTTTTATTGTAATTTCGGCTACTATCAGGAAGATGCTGCTGCCCATCTCCTGCCTGTTTCCCTTTGTCGCCTTTTACGACACCCACGGGAAGATATGGGGTAGTGGATATTCTTGACCGCCACTACACGGCAACTTTCTACTTATATAAATATATTGTTTCATTTCCAAAAACAACACTAACTGATAGTCTTTGGTTAAACATAGGATGTACCAAATTCTAACGGTAAGAGGGAATTACGAAAAACTTAGCTGAATATATAATATGCGAAGCATATATTCAGCTAAGTTTTTCGTAATTCGCTATATTTTTCGTAATGTGCATAATATTTTAAGTCTGAGCAAAGTCAAAGTACGATCTCAGTCTAAGTC